GAGAGAGAGAGAGAAGAGGAGAGGAAGAGAAAGAGAATAGAGAAAGAGAGAAGAGAAGAAAGAGGAGAAAGAGAGAAAGAAGAGAGAAGATAGAGAAGAGAAGAGAGACAGGGAGAGGAGAGAGAGAAAGCAGAGAGAGAAAGAGAGAAGAGAGGAGACAGCGAAGGAATGAGGAAGCGAAGAGAAGCGAGAAGAGAGCAGGGAGAGAAAGAGAGAAAGCGAAGTGAAGCAGAGAGAGAGAGGAGAGAGAAGAGGAGAGAAGAGCGAGGAGAAAGAGAAGCAGGAAGAGAGAGAGAGAGAGAGAAGAGAGAGAGGAAGGGAGGGAAGAAGGAGAGACGACAAGAAGAACAAGAGAAACGAGAAGCGAAGAAGAGAAGAAAGAGAAAAGGAGAATGAGAGAGAGGAAGAGAGAGAGAAGAGGAGAAGGGAGGGACTAACGAAAGGAGAAAGAGAAGAAGCGAGGAGCGAGAAAAGGAGCGAAAAGAGAAGAAAGAGAGAGAAGAGAAGAGGAGAAGAGAAGAGAAGTCAGAGAGAGAAGAAGTAGACGAAGAGAGAAGAGAGAAGAAGAACAGAGAAAGAAGAGAGAGAAGAGAAGAAGAAGAGACAGAGGAGATAAAGAACAGAGAAAGAGATTAGAAGAGACAAGAAGAGAAACGAGTAGAAAGATAGGAGAGAAGAGAGAAAGATGAGTAGAATAGAGAGGAGTAGAAGAAAGAAGAGAGAAGGTAGAAGAAGAGAAGAGAGAAGAGACGCAGAGAAAAGAAGAAAAGAGAAAGAAGAGCGAAGAAGAGAGAATGAAAGAGAGATGAAGAGGAGAAGACGAGACAGAAGAAAGAGAGAAAGAAAGAGAGAAGAAGAGAGAATAGAGGAGAAGAGAGTACGTAAGAGAGAAAGAGACGAGAAGAGACAGGAGAAAAAGAAGAGAGAGACAGAGAACGAAGAGAACTCAACTAGAAGAGAGGAAAAGAAGGAGAAAGAATCGAGAGACGGAAGAGAGAAGAGAGAGAGAGAGAAGAAGAGAAGAGAGAAGAGAAGAGAGAAGAGAGAGAGAAGAGAGAGAGAGAGAGAGAGAAGAGAGAGAGAAGAGAGAAGAGAGAAGAGAGAGAGAGAGAAGAAGAGAGAAGAGAGAGAAGAGAGAAGAGAGAGAGAGAAGAGAGAGAGAAGAGAAGAGAGAGAGAAGAGAGAAGAGAGAAAGAGAGAAGAGAGAGAGAGAGAAGAGAGAAGAGACGAAGAGAGAGAGAGAGAAGAAGTAGAGAGAAGAGAGAGAAGAGAGAAGGAAGAAGAAGAGAGAGAATCTGTGTCCGCGTGTGCTGCATGTTCCTCGTACCTGTAGCATTGGTCTCAGCATGGAGAAGTCACCGAGATGTATAATACGGTAGGTCATAATGAGGTCGACTCGCACCCGACGGTAGGGCAAGGTGTAGAGTCCTAGTTTCTCGCACCGGTCTTCATACCCCAAGCCACATAAACTCGGGAGAAGCCTGGTAGCAACGTGTTCGACCCGTTCGATCTTTTGTGCCTCGCCTCGGGTAATCGGAAAGTAGGCGGGCGAACCCTACTCTAGCATTGGTCTAATAATGGGAGAGAAGAAGCGAGTGGCAACCTTTTCAGACCATGTGCCGAAGCTACATTTGAGCGCCCAAAGCATGCGCAGTCCGTTATGATTTAGCCTGTTCGTGTTGTCAACCGACTTCAAGTCGTAGCGCGAGAATACACCTAGGTCCTTCACGGAGGGTGCGGGATATAGCGATTGGCCGTAAGCACCCTTCCCCAGGCTCATAAATACAGATTTGGCTGGGTTGACCGGGGGATGAACTGCTGCAGACCATGTGCATAGGCGGCTGAGGTCTTGCTGAAGTAGGCCACAGTCGTCAGGAGCATCAATTTCTCTCCAAATCTGCATGTCATCCGCAAACTACGCACACGGCGACCGGAGAAGCTGAGGTAGATCGTTGATGTGGATCAGGAACAGAGTGGGCCCCAGCACAGTGCCTTAAGGCACGCGGATGATCAGGTTCCACACTGGCCATGCGACGTCAGAAGCAGATCCCATTCTCTCCTTCATTGGTAAACGGAGAACATCCTAGACCGAAAGCCGCATAATCTCTCGACTGCTTGTAATCGTGTTTGCGTAAAATGGACGCCGTGCGATGGTTCATCCTGACCAAGTTGATTACAGCACACTATTTATGCGCCGGTAAGCGGAAAAACCGAGCTGACGAAAACAAGATTGCGATAGCCTATAGTAAATTAAACCATCTGCGAAACAATACTGTATGTCACACAGAATTCGACGTAAAGAACTATTCTTGGATTGCAAACAAGACTGTTATAAATTTAGATGATTAGACATCGCCGAGGATGAGGGAGGGGGGGAACCGCGTGTGCCAGCTCTTTAGTGCAGTCTTTAGTGAGCGGATGGACCATGTTCATGGAAACAAAATAGTCTGAAAACATCTTAAATGGCTAAAAACGGTAAAATGATCACCTTGGAGACGATGTCCACTGCGTCTGGATGAAGATTGGATGGATAGGTCACTTCTTCATAGGAGATGGCATTGAAGAGGTCTTGCTCTGTGTCACCCTCAAAAGGTGGTGCACCAGCCATCATTTCATACATGAGAACACCCAGGGCCCACCAATCCACGCTGAAGCCATAGTCCAGTTCCGCGAGGATCTGATGTGTTAGACAAAAAGCTCGGTGGATGAGCATTCATAGTAAGAGAGGATGCAACAAAAAAGTCTCAACTGAATATGTTAACGTATGGGGACATAAAAACAGAAAAGTCTATTTCCTTTGAGATGAAATGAACCAAGCGCGTTTAGACACACACACACACACACACACACATACGTACAGAATCGGTCCACAACCAATCTGCAGACGTTTTGGTACTGGTTGCGACAGAGCGATGGAAACGACTGCAAGTAATCCTTATGTCTCACATTCGAGCCGCCATCCGCGTACAACACCTATGTAAAGATTGTGAGCACGGAGGAGTTTGCACATAGTGTGCGGTGTTATAAGCAAGCCATACATAACAGATGTAGAAACAATAGGGTATGGGGGTAAAATGGGACAAACACAATGAGTGGACATGCGAACCATTTGAGACACATAGGCAGATCAAGAGAGAGTCGATACACAAACCGAATGTAATCCCGACGCATGTCGGAGGAAGGGGTATCGAGCTGATTTTATCACCTGTGTTTACGCTCCTACTGACTGCAGTTCAGAGGGTACCAAAGACCATTACTAATCCCATCTTTCGTTTCTTATCCATATGGCGAAAAATTTGGACATCGTGATTGTTGCCAGTAACTTGAATGCCTAAGTGCGTCCTTTATCCGATTCGGAGTCGATACACGCCGAACAGACAGTAATGATTGATTCCTGCAACTGTGCGCCGACCACAATATATTGGCAACACTGCTTTCCAACACAAACGTTCACACTGCGTCACCTGACGCCCACCGAATTCCTCAATGACCTGAACCCAAATGGACCATAATGCCATTAGCTATAGATGGCGCACATTTGTCCTAGATTGTCGGTCAATTTGGAGCACGTGCCTTGATTCCCACCATGCCTTGGTGCGCACCGCCTAGCGTTCACTCTTGTCGTTTCAAAGAAGCGGGCATCTTCTAACCTTTTTACCCGTAACTCGTACCTGCAATCCACACTTCAACAACATCATAATGAATTGGCTCATTAATTGTCAGCGATGAGTGGAATTGGTGAGCCGAACACTGACTGGGATCGTCTCACTTATGCCATGAAGAATGCCTGTGACACTTGCTCGACACCCAACTTGAGACATCGTAACTGTGAATGGATCTCTGGGGTATCGATCAGTTTGATCGAAGCGCGTATGCAAGTTCCAATGGGTACTAATATTCAGCGTGCCTGCGACCCCTTGAAACCATGTCTGACAAGGAGTATTCAAGTTGATCGGGGACGTTGATGGGTGTCAAGGGTCCGTGAGATGGAAGAAACCAGTGCTCTTGGAAATACCCCACGGCTTTTCCACCTCGTCCGAAACTGGGATCCGATAACACCATGTTAGCGAGAAAACAGCTGAGCAAGATGGATAGTTGATCCATTCTCAGCGTCATCGACTAGCCCGTTGAGCGGAACATTTTGAAGAGCAGTTCAACTGGCTTACTGAAACACTGCCGCTTGCCGAATCACCTGAGTCGACGTGGGATGTTGATGTCAGACCTCTCACTTGGGAAGAGATTCTACATGAGCTTTCCGCATTGAAACGAAACAAGTCTCCGGTATTAGGCGAGCTCCCTCCACTATTGATGACATGATGGTGACTTTTTGACTGGACTTGATTCTGTTTAACACGATTTGGGACACTGACTTCAGACTGGCGACTATCAACTGTCGTGCTCATCTTCAAGAGGGGTCAGCGTACATTGTGCAGAAATCGTCGGGGCATTAGCCTTATTACCATTGCCTTGAAAACTTATCAAGGGTACCATTCTTCGACGAATTACTAGTCCACGTGAGAATCGAATGACTGGAAGTCAGGCTGACTTCCGCCCTGATCGTGGTTACATGGACCACATATTTCCTCTTCGCCAACTTTTAGAGCAGACACATACAGACAACCGACAGTGATGGTTTTCCTTGTTTTGGTCGAGACAGCTTGTGACGTGCCTGCCCATGAAGGGTGTGTCAGAGAAATTCTTTCCATTCTTAAGTCTCTCTACCGTGATTCCCGAGAGCGTGTAAGGGTCTACGGGAAACTGTCTCCTGAGTTCTCCACGACAAGTGGGGTTCGCCAGGGTTGTCCTTCATCCCTTTTCTTTTTCAACTCTATGATCGAAATGATCATGAATGACTCGGTCCTTTCAGACTCCACCGGATTAAAAGTTCTGCCAGGTGATCGATTGATCAATTTTCTCAGTAGTTCTGGTGTGCATCACACTTCGAAAGATACCTCCAATGCGCGAAGCGCTATAGCGAGAAAAACGGGCTGGGTTCCGCCGTAGCCGCGGCCGCATCGATCTAAATCTTCACACACCGCCAGATCCTCGAGCACCGCCATGTGAACCAAAAGCCAACGATTATTGTGTTCCTGGGGCTGGCTTGCCGAACAACCTCCTCGTGGTGCCAGCTGGGTGGTTCGGGATTTTCCCGTTCCAGCAAATGGTTCGGCAGCAGTGTTCCAGGACGTGGTGGGTTTTCGCCTGGCAAGCGTTCTCCCTATAAAAAGCCACATATGTCCGTTTAACAACACTGTGACGTGGCGGACGTGACTCGCCACTAAATAAAGTCACTGCCCCTTGCTTCATCCTGGCGAAGCATTGTATTCCAGCAATCTTATGCTGTACTTCTAGGGAGCATTGGGCCCCTGTTTGACAAAGGAACAGACGAAAGGCGTATGAACTGAGCAATCAGTCACCGGCTCCCAATGGGCGCGATTCCCTGAATTCGCTCCGCTGCCTTGCGGGCAGGCTATTAAGCCAAAGGCTCGGGGTGGTGTCCCCTAAGTCAACACCCTACTTCGGCTTGGGCAACCGGGTAGTATCTCGCCCTCTGAGGAAACCATGGACATCGTTGTGTTGTGTTTTATTTTACTGTTTCTGTACCTTCGTTTGAATCCCATGGTTTCTGATGGCATTATGTCTGTTAACAGACTTTTGCAAATATATATATATTGTGTTCCTGGATATCCGCGCTGCCTTCGATTCTGTCGACAGATATGCATTGCGGCACTGTTTGCTGAGGAATGGCGTCCCCGAGAAGTTCGTTTCCATACTGCGTGCTATGTACAGTCCGACCTCGGATAGAGTTAGGGCTTATGGCAATGTTTCCACTTCCTTTGTTATCACCAGTAGAATTCGACAAGGATGCTCTATCTCCCCATCCCTTTTCAATTTCGACATTGAGGGTGTTGTTGTGATTCGATACCCTAGGCTTATCCTGATTAGCTCAACGCTAAGTGATCGATTGGCGAATATCTGTGTGTGCCTTTATCCATTCTGGTCAGTTGTACGTTCTACTTGCCTCCTTCAGTATACTTCTGTTACATCTACATTCTTCCGATACAACAGATGTCGTCGAAAATGCTCTAGAAAATTAGTTGAGCGCTGGCGTTGAGCTCCTCCCAGGTAACCGAGTTGTTGACTTGAACAATGCTGATGATATAGTCTCGATGGGTGACGGTCCACAGGCCGTCCAACTTGCACTAAAACGTTTGGTGATTGAAACGTCAAAGTATGGGATGACTTCTTCCTCATTCAAGTGCAAAGCTCTTTTCCGAGACATTCAGATATCTGTACCTGCAGTTACTCTTGATGGTGAGACACTGGAGGTTACAGGGAGTATTGCCTACCGTGGAAGTTGCATCACTGTCGGTAGAGCTGTTGGAGACAGGACTTCGATGCGTATCTCAAGAGGTCGCCTCGCTTTCTCTAAACTGAGGCACTTATGGCGCCGTCATGAGATCCGTCTATTTATCAAATAGCGGGTTTATTGTGCGACTGTCTGCGGTGTACTGTTGAGAGACTTGGTTTGTTCGTTTTGTTGACCTGCGTCGTCTCTCTGTCTTTGAGCAACGTTGCTTGACGTCTATTGTCCGTGTGTGGTGGCTGCAACACGTAACCAATGTGAAAGTTAGAAAGCGTGTCTTGGGTGAAGGCAGCCACTCGCTCGAAGAGCTCGTCCCGCTGCGTCAGCTGCGGTGACCTAAACATGCACTGCGCATGCCCCCTCATTCTCTTCCGGGTCCGGCGTTGTTCGCGGTTTCTGGACAGGACTGGAAGAAACGGCGCGTTGGAGAAGCCACATGAAAAAGTTGACGAAACAGTCGGCCTCGGTCGGTTCTTCTCAAATACCTGGTTGGGATTTCAGAGATACAAAGTGTCACTGGTTGGAGACCTTAGAAAGTCATGATTCAGCACCGGCGTCAATGGTGGACGTGAATCTCTGCGTGTTACGGTGATTTCCCTTCCCCAATAAAACTAACAAGTAAAAAACTCAAAAACTGAGTGAAAAAAGGTTGCACGTTCCTCTTTTTCTCATTCGTAGCCTGTTTTCTTATTTCGCCGTGATTCTGATGGCACAACAGCTGTACCACAGATCGTGATATATATCTATATCTATATATCTATATGTAGATATCACGATCTGTGGCACAGCTGTTGTGCCATCAGAGTCACGGCGAAATAAGAAAACAGGCTACGAATGAGAAAAAGAGGAACGTGCAACCATATATATATATATATATATATATATATATATATATATATATATATGGTTGGCGGCATCCGGTTTCGGATTTGCCTGTCACTGTGGCAAGCCACAGGACGCCTGCGCCTACAGAGGCACCATGAGTGGCTTGCGCTACACCACCCACAACTCCAACCACACACCCCATATCCAGTGTAAACCCGAACGAATAAGACCGGAAGGCATGTGGATGGGAGCCAGGTTTCATCAACGGAGCCAGCCCACACTCCTTCACAGGCAAACACGAGCACGCTGTATTTGGGGAATCAAGCGTACACAAGGCGGTGGCTGGACCGTAGTCCGCTCCACACTGAGTGCATGGAACCACGCTTCGAGCCTAGCACGGCCACAAGAACTGTGCACCCCGTCCCCTCCAGCAACGACCAACTGTCTCCTGGAGCCAGTATGGACGAGGTAGGCACCTTGTCAAC